CACAAAATACTAAACAAGAGACGTCCTGTTTAAGCAGGGACGCTCAGGGGAAATCCAAAAGGGGGAGTCGAAGGCCAGTCCAAAGTCAAAGTTACCAAAATCCTAATTATCTGAAGTCTAAATCACGAAGCAACCACACAAGCACACGAGGAGAAGAGAGCAGTATGAACACCTTCGTGTCCACACTACCCTGTACCTTCTCGTTGAATGAAGGGCAGAGGGCAGCTTTTACCAGCTTATCCCGGTGATTACCAAATTACTTGCAGCTGAGCACTGGGAGACTGAGGAGGCAGAAGCCACTGAGGCCATCTTGTGGCCGAAACGAGGCACAGCACGTAACAACTTATCTGCAGCTTTTGATACAGTCGACCACGAAGTCCTTCTGGACCGACTACAGTATTGGGTGGGAATAACTGGGCAGGCCCTCCAATGGCTTCGCTCCTACCTTCATGACAGGACATTTAGTGTTCAGATGGGTGAGGTGACGTCACCCTGCGTGAGACTTTGTTGGGGTGTGCCACAGGGCTCTGTCCTTGGTCCTCTCCTATTTGCAGTGTATTTGCTTCCTCTTGGAGTCCTTCTTTGTCAGCTTAATGTGAAATTTCATTTTTTTTGCTGATGCCTGCCAGATCCTAGGGATGGGTACCAAATTCGGTACTTTTTAGGTACCAACCGAATTCCATAGTACCGACCGAGCACCGATTCACGTCATTTCAAACGGTGCCTCGTTTCGGTACCCGTCCTTCATAACGAGAACTTGCCAAGACAGCTGCACATGCGCAAGAGCGTTATGTCGTCGCTCGCTGCGAGCCAGTTGTAAACAGAGCAGCATGGTAGAAAGAATGCACGCTAAAGCTTGAAATGTGATGGGTAACCGGGTGATGATGAAACCAGCGACAACAATCTTAAGTGAGACATCCTCATCTTAATCTGCTCCGGTAGGTAAATAAAATGTTTAAGATAACGTTAGCTTGATATGTTAGCTTCCGTTTCACTAATGGTGCATTTGCTTTCTCCTCGGAACTCCGACTTTCCGACTAGAAGAACATGAACGCGCTCTAAAGTTTGGCTTCACTTTACTAAATGTGACGGGTGACTGAGTGAAGATGAAACCAGTGACAACGATCTAAGTGTGAGGCTTCATCGTTTTAATCTGCTCCAGCAGTTAAATAAACTATTTAAGATAACGTTATAAATGTGTTTTAATCAAATGAATGACTATTATGCTTTGGGTAATTATAAGAGATTTAATTAATCCATTCCTAATTAAATGTTAGTGTGAGGATGTTTGTTACTGACCTTCACACACACTCAAGCACACAAACACTCACACAAACACTCACACACAGATTCTCACAGTAAACTCCAAAACACATTTGCTGACGCACACGTTTTGCTTTGAGAGGAGAAAGGCTTTTGGTAAGTTTTCAGTCTTATGATTGGAGTTCGTGCTTGACAACGAAAGAGAGAGGACCTGAGTAAACGCTAAAAGGGGGGAGCCGGTTGGCTCGTTTCTCCCCCCCTCTCACGCTGTTCCTGTCAGCCAGACAGAATAGCTGAACTGCAACAACTAACGCGGACTCGCCTCGAGTCCTTTGATTTCTGAGTGAACTAAACTTAACAAACGCATCGACAAAACGCTTTACCATCAACGTGTACCGAGGGCAACTCTGGACCGGTTCCGTTGGACACCTACGTCTCCCCTGTCAGCCGCTGGTGTCATCTGGATGAACCACCACCATCCTCCACGGCCCAGATCCGAAAGAGGGTCCACAAGAGTTCGGTGAGACAGAGCACAGTGTTTAGCGTTTGATGCAGTTCTCTGATAAGACCTAAGTTTATCCAAACCATCACTTCACTCAGACACCTGTTCTTCCTGAAGCAAAATCAGACTCACACACGCATTCATGTCACAACATTCTCAATCTTCATAAATTCACCACAAGGTCTATTTGATCATATCAACTGTTAAAGATTGTCCCAAAAGTTGCCAATGTTGATTGTTATTTCCTGTTTGTCAATTTCAAAATCATTAGTTTAATTTGAAGAATTAAAACTTTTAATTGTCAAACTGGTTTCCTCATTGAACTGAAACACAGACACACAGATATTATCGTCAGTTTATCGATGAAAACAACCTTTGAGTCTTCTTAACAATATAAAATTTGGTTATTGATTTATTAAAAATTAATATTCCGAATTAATACGTAGCATGGTTCCTCTTTCATAAAAGAGCATATAACCACAACGCTACAATAAACTGAGTAAAGACAGTTTCTCCTTACAATATGGCTGAGCCAGCCAATTTTCTTTACACTTGATATGTTAGCTTCCATTGCCACCGTTGTTATCAGCTAATGGTGCGTTCGCTTTTTCCTCGGAAATTCTAACTTCCCAGTAGGAAAACTCAAATGAAAAAAGACGGCAAAAGGAATGAAGATACACAGTAAATTTAGTTCACAGTAAAGATATTTGCTTCAGTTTAATTATCATCTTATGAAACTACAAGGACAATGTTAAAATACAAACAGTTGAATGTTATTTATCGTGATATTTATCAAATATTGTTATATATTGAGAAAAATATATATTTAATTATAAAAGAGAATTAAAATAATAAACACTCAAAGGTATCGAAAATTGGTACCATTAAGTACCGGTATCGATTCCTAGGTACCGGGAATGAGTACCCAATCGTTTCAAATGTCAAAGGAACCCATCCCTATCTATCTCCCTCTTCGACGTGGGGAGGATAGATCTGTTTCTCCTTTATTGGACTGTTTAAAGGACATAAACTGTTGGATGGCTTCTAATTTTTTGCATCTAAATGAGAGCAAAACGGAAGTCATAATACTTAGTCCTGGCAGAAGAAATGGCTCAGGTGCTGATATTGACCTTGGCCCATTGACCCCCTATGAAAAGAAAATAGTCAGTAATTTGGGGATAAAAATTGACTCCTCACTTAATCTTGACACTCACGTAAATACAGTGGTGAGGTCCTGTTTTTTTAACCTGAAACGACTATCCAGGATCAGGCCTCTGCTGTCCAGAGCTCATCTGGAGTCTGTGTTGCATGCATTGGTCCTGTCCCGTCTGAACTACTGTAACGCTCTGTATGCTGGTCTGCCCCAGTGCACGGTTGCACTGCTCCAATTTGTACAGAACTCAGTGGCTAGGTTCCTGACAGGTACTAGATGTCGAGATCACATTACCCCAGTGCTGGCTGATTTGCACTGGCTCCCGGTGCAATTCCGAGCTAAATTTAAAATCTTAACTCTCGTTTATAAAGCCCTCCAGGGCAGTGCCCCCTCTTACATTACTGCACTTTTGCACAGGTATGCTCCATCTAGGTCTCTTCGCTCAGCCGAGCAGGGACGTCTGGTGGTCCCCCGGACGAAATATCGATCGAGGGGCTATTGTGCATTCTCTGTTTTGGCTCCAACTCTATGGAATGAATTGCCATTGAGCATTAGGCAGGCACCGTCCCTTCAAGTCTTTAAGTCTCGTCTAAATACTCATTTTTATTTGATTGCTTTTCAGCTAGGGTTCTTTGAATTGACCTGACATTATGGTTTTTAATACTTCTTCTTTTTATCAGGATGCTTGATCTTGTTTTGTCCACCATTTGTTTTTAATTGATTAGTCTTATTCCGTTATCTCTCTGTATTTTTAATATTGCTTGTTTGTTATTTTATGATTTTATGTTTTTATCTTGCTTTTATACCCAGGTACTGGGAATGTTTTTATGATGATGCTGTTCAGCACCTTGGGCTTCTGATAACGTTGTGGAAGGTGCTCTACAAATAAAATTGATTGATTGGTTGATTGATACCTGCTACAACTGTGTTCACGTTCATTCAGCAGACTCCACATGTGCGGTTATTGAGATTGCACAGCTAACCAGCTCTGGCACATTAATTATAGAAGGAGACGTGCACCGGCTGTTCTTGGGTGAAATGGTACATTGATTGCCAGTAAAGAAGATTTATATGTCCAGCACTGGGACATCTGTCAAAGCATGGGACAATGTAGCCTCTTTTTGTCCCCTTCACTATTTCCCTCCTTGGCTGGCATGCCCCACTTGGACAGGAGCCAACAAACAGGAAGAAGGAGAGAGGACTTCTGCTATATAAATCACATAATCTAGCTGTTGGGGAGGGGGGGGGGGGGGGGTCTAAGAAGCCTCACCGTAGAGCAGATGTTTAGTGTGATTAAAATGTTTTGTCTTGCTCATTAAGACCTCTACTTTTGGACAGAAAGGAGCTTCTTTTGCCAGCGAGCTGAGTCCACTCTGTGCTGATTAAGAGCAGGCATTCAACACCCAAACCCAAATTCTTATTTTACAGTGTGGAGCAACATGCACTGGCCAGATGCTCATTTAATGAGTTATAATTTGATTAGCTTGTTGAGAGAAATGTCATGTCAGGGACTTGATTATGCAATTTGTTGTCATTAAAACTGACAGAAAATCTCAGCTTAGTTTACATCTAAATGTATGGCTGCCAATTATGTAACCCATAAAATAACTGATGCTGTGTGTTGGAATTTGACGTGCTTGCTCTAAGAGACTTGTCATTAAATACAGAGTTATACTTATGATCGACTTCCCTAATACTCTTGTTAACAAGCGTGAGCAAACCCCTGCAGGGAGTTGTCAAAAGTCTGGAGAAAACCTTGAAACAAGGAGAATGGTGTCTTTAAAGGTGAGCTGAGGTCATGACGCCTGCTCTAGCTGAATGTTTCTATGTACCTTAATCTTAATGGGGTTTATTTATGAGTCCTTTCCATGTCTTTGCTCTTTACTGATTATTCTTATCAAATCAAATCAGCTTTAGTTATTTTTGTGGTACACATGTGGAATAATGTACTATTAAACTAAACGATTTATTTTTTTACAATCCATCAGAAGTAATCCAGCCATGAAAAAGATGAGAACATATGATCACAGAACAGCTTTAATGGAGAGAAGGTTTCCAAAGTTGATAGGAGTGTCTGTTTTGTTGTTTCCTCAGTAGCAGGTCACAGCTTGTGGGATGAAGCTGTTCAGGTATCTTCTTGTCCTTGTTCTGATGCTACCACATTCTTTCTCTGAGGGCAGCAGTTCAAACATTCTGAAGGTGTGAGGCATCCCTGATGATGCTCAAAGCTTGTCTTCTGCTCTGGTTCTGAAAGACTTCCTGCACAGAGGTCAGGGAGGTCCATGATGCCCCGATGACCCACTCTGCTCATGCCACTGGAGGGACGTGTGCACAGGGTGTGATCTTAAAAAGCTGATGATCATCTTCTTGGTCTTGTCTGCATTGAGCACTAAGTTGTTGTCCTTGCACCAGCAGACGACACTGATGACCTCCCTCCTGTACAGTGATTTGTCATTGCCAGGGATGAGTCTGCCATGTCATCCAGCAACTTGATGACCTAATTATCTTCATAGGCAGCTGCAGAGTCCTGGGTGTAAACACTGGATGGCTGAGCAGCACCTGAGTACACAGAATGGAGCATGAATGTTAAAAGCAGATAGCCAAAAGGATTTACTTAAGTTAAAGTTTAAAAGTATTTTAGGTGAAATGCAAATGTAGGTTAAAAAAAAAGAGAAAATCAAAAAAATGGGATGAGATCACACATACATACACACACACACACACACATACACACACACACACACAGGTGACTTGGTGCTTTTGCTCAAGGTTATTTAAATCAGTGCTGTTGGTTTAAGGTTTAAATATGCACGTTTGAGTCAGTGATTGCAGAATAAAGGGGTGGCGTTGTGGAGTGATTCAAAATCTTAGAATATTAAAGGTGTATTATGTAGAAATGAAGTAAAAATGACATCCTGTGGTAAAATGTGGCTACTGCAACCACTTTAAACAACTCCAGAGCTTTTTGCTGGTTGTTGTCAAATTACAGACATCGGCGCTGTAGTATTAGCTCGCAGGAGACACGGCAACCCCACACTCACTGATGATAAACAGTTACGTCCCTCCTTCCTTTATTTTGAAAGGAGAAAAAAATGACAATCCCCACAGCCAGCTGGATAGATGTTTAACTTTCCTTCCAAAATGATGTCGCTCTCCATCAATCACACCCACACACACCTGCTAGAACTTCATTACCCATCATTCCACTCACCGGATGCCCGCCTTCATGTCACTAACCGGAGTATATACAGAAGTCCAGCCATCCCGCCAGAACTCATCAGCAGTCATTGTTTCACCTATTGGAGCCACAGGTAAATGGAGCCTCAGCTCTTCATCACGTTCATCAAGACTCCTACCAGTGTGTCAGTGTCTCTTACTCTGAAGCTTCGGCCCAGCCTCGTTTCCTTTCTTGCCGTCGTTCCTAGAATAATCGTGTGTCAGCCACACCCGGCGCTTGCTCAGTCTTCTCCTCGCAGCAGCTTTCTGACAAATGACTGAAACATTAGAGTCTTTTGGGATTTTCTCACTGTAAAATTCTCACTACATTCTTACATACTGCACATTTAAAATTTTGACTTCATAAATAAAAACTCTGAAAACTGATTTTCAACACACTATTAAAACATCACTTGAGATTTGCAGTGAGGATTTATGTAGCACAAAGTTGAAAGTCTTGACCCTACCGTGTTTTTATTGCTCCTGTGGGACCACAGTAGTATAATTTTATATTTCACCTCCTCCTCTATCGTCTCTACTTGCCCTCTTTTACTCCTGCCCTCCTTTTCCCTCCAAACTGAGCTGCTGCCCTGTCAGAAGTCGTCTTGTGGTTTGTCATGTGTTTATTTTTGTTTTTCTGTCAGTCGTTCATTTGAGAATTTCTTTCTCTTTCCTCTCTTACTCTGGTCCAGCTGCTTTTTTCTCTCCTCCTCTGTACCAGTTTCTGTCTTTTTAAATAGGGACCACACACAGAAACGCTGTGAATTCCCCAGATAAAACGTGTGTGTGTGTGTGTGTGTGTGTGTGTGTGTGTGTGTGTGTGTGTGTGTGTGTGTGTGTGTGTGTGTGTGTGTGTGTGTGTGTGTGTGAAAGGCGGCGAGAAACTGCCCAGTTTAAGGGGGATCGTGGTGAATTTACAGGTGTAGTGTGTTTAATGACGACAGGTGGCCAAGTCCTCTAGCAATTAATTAACAATTCTGCCTTTATCCTTTATCACACTCAGATTCCCCAGAAAGGAGCACTCACTTTAAAAAACGCTTTTGTTTTTCTGTAATGAATAATTCTGAAAACAATCCGCTGTAGTGTTCATAACTCACTTGACTTGCTTTTCGTGTAATTCTTTGCTCATTTATCGACCAGCATGGCCTATTTGTATTCTATTTTATTAACCTAATTTCCAGTCACTGGAGCCTTTTCTTATTGTTCGTCTGATTACTCTTTTTTTTTATTCTTGAGACAATTTCTGTCCTTCTGTTTTCTTCTACACCTCATTAAGCAGCAAGGCCATGTGCAGGAAGGGAGTGTGTCCCACAAAAGCTACAGGCTTTAATGGAAACCATCAGGGTCGCTCAACCATTCCCTTCTGTCAGTCGGTGTGAAAGTTTCTTTGAGCATCTTAGTCATTTTCAGTCTCAGTCTCTCTAAAACACACCTTGCAAACCGTTATTGATCTCAGCTAATGGATCAGCGAGTGCCTGTCCTTCACTTAGCTGCTGTAGATGATTGTTTTAGCTGTCAGTGCTTAACGCTCGTAGTGTGAAACAACAGCCTTGATGCCTGAAGTTACAGTTAGTAACAAAGATTTAAACACTGCATGTTTTTTTTCTGCTCCTCTCATAGTCCCTTTGGCTACTCGGACTCCTTCACCAAATTATGCTGCAAGGGTTTCTGCATAGACATCCTCAAGAAGCTCTCTAAAACCATCAAGTTCTCCTTTGACCTTTACCTGGTCACCAACGGGAAACACGGCAAGTTGGTGCACGGGATTTGGAACGGGATGATCGGGGAGGTGAGAAATCTATGAGTCAGTATTTTGCAACAGCTGTTTCACAAACAACTGACAAGAAAACAATTTGGGAAGTACTACCTTCTAGATCACAGACAATATTTTTATATTCACCTGCCATTTTATTAGGTACACCTTGCTACTACACTAGACATCTTGTTTGAAAAGCTTTACTTCTTCCTGCCATGGATTCAACAAAGTGGGAAACATTCCTCAGATGCTCTGGTCCATATTGACATGACAGTATCGCACAGTTCCATTCATGGTCATACCTTCCAAGTGGCCTAGAGGTAGCCTGTCTGCACTGGGGCTGGCAGATCGGGGTTCAAATCCCAGTAAGGTCATACCAAAGTCGTTATAAAAGGGATCCAAGCACGCTTCCCTGCTTGACACTCAGCTTGGGGTTGGATTGGGGGGGGTTAAATCACCAAATAGTTCCCAGGCTTACCGCTCCCCACAGGCATGGGTCAAAAACCGAGATGTAATTTCACCAGTATGTGATGATAAATAATGGGACTTTTAACTGAAAGAGGTTCTGGACTGGTGGTCACTGTTTCATGCTCTGACGGTACTGAGTCATTATACCAGCACTTGAAGCACCACTTGCATACAAGTGTATTTGATTGTAAAGATTTTATTTGTTGCTTTTTTAAAATAAATAGGTCTGCGGGTGATGATGGCAAATTGGGTGGGACAATGTGGGAGTGACAGAAACAGACCGGGAGCAAGCGGAAGGGACAGAACAGTATTGGGAATGGATTTTCAGAAATAGTCCTGAACTGGCTTTAATCTGAATGTTGTAGATAAAATAAAGCCTTAATAGGCCACAAAAACATGCTTTTTTTATTTTAGTGACTAATAATGGTTATCTTGTGTGTATTGTAACTTTAGTCTCCTGTTTTAAGCTGACAGGAGGGACACATGGTGTGGTCTTCTGCAGCTGGAGTTCATCTTTTTCAAGTTTCAACGTGAACAAGAGATGGAATCCTGCTGTAATTAGTGAATATTTGCATCACTGAAATCTGTAGTTCAGTCAGGAGTGAGTGAACAGAAATATAGTAAAATATTAGATAATCTAGCACCAACATTTCTGGGATACAAAACATTTTATTTGTCATTAAGGGGAAGTAAAGTGACTCCTGGGTGAATACAACAAACACCACAGCCAGAGCCTTCACCTGCTGTTCTGAAACCTGGTCAAAACAGCTACAGTTTTACTAATTCTTTTTTTTTTTTTGGATCTGATTACCCTTCCATCTTTGTTCCCCCAATGTCTCCATTTTCAGTTTTTCCTCCAAAGGCATTCATCAAAACCGGGGAGAAATGTAATAATTCATCTAATTTATACCAAAACTCACTACTGCTTCCTTTCTCATTTCACACACGCTAGTGAAGCTTTTACAGTCACTCCCATTAGCATTGGCCTTTTGGCTCATAAAAATTAGTCCAAGAAAAGGGGGGCGTGGCTTAACACCTATCAATGATTTAACACATTATTGCAGCAAAAAGCAATAAGAATAGGGAATAAAGCTACACAATATTGGCTTTTTTAAATGATATCCAATATGCTGATATTGTCTGGCTCTTGCTGTGTACCCCTTTCATAAAAAATAAAAAAATAAAACATTTTAGGTTACTAACATCACATATCTCTTATGATGGCTTAAATTTTAAACATCTTCTGTGCAAAATGACAACTACTTCAATTTAAATTAGTAATAGGAAAAGTGAGATATTTATTTTATCTCCAACAGCAGCTGAATCTCGTTCTCCCTAAAGGTGATGTTAAGATATGTGTATTAGTTAGTGGTGTATTTGTCTTTTTCTGTAAATTGCAATTATGGTTATTAGACGTTTAGATAAGAAAAGCAAGCCTTGGGTGAAGATTCTTGTGTTTGCTTTAGTTGTTTGTTAGCTTATAGCTACACATAGCTATGTGCTGTGTGGACAGCACGCATTACCCAGTGCAAATCTCTACTTCACAAGTTGTAACAAATAAACAAAAATATCTTAAAAACGTTACCTAAGATCTGCTATATTTTGGTATTCTGTGAGAGAGGAGACGTAGCTAAAGAAGTTGATGTATATTACGTGTATGGGATGCAAAAGTTGAGTCATTAAAAGTCTGAATACCGATACCAATATTACATTTTAATGCAAATATCAGCCAATATGAATGATAGGCCAATAATATTGGACATCCCAAATAAAGCCCCCCCCAAACTAAAACATAAACATAAATTAAATATTTACATAATCCAGAAGACATGTACTTTGATCACCACCCTGTCTGTTGCAAACATCTGCTGTAAAACTGCATCTAAATCTAAACATTCTGTTGAGCCTTTATTCAGACATTGCAGGAAAAAACAATTTAGAAACAACAGTTAACACACAAGCAAACCTAGCAGAAATGACTAACCACGATCTAAGAATTAAACATGTTCAAAATAAAACAAACTATAAGATAGAGGTAGCCCCCTTTCAACTATTCCACACAAAAAAAAAGAAAAAATCAGCATTCATAATTTAACTTTATGTAAATCTAATTTAAAAATAATAATCAAAAATCTCTTGACATCACTTTTTCTGACTCCTCCTCCTGAACGATACACTACAAGGTAAAGGTAAGACTCAGCAGTAACGCTACATGACTCACTGACACAGAAAGAATGGATGTGATGTTCGAAGTGTGTGTACCTGTCAAACCGTATCAAACAGCTGCAGCTGAAAATAAAACATTGTGAACAGATGTTCAGCCTTCATGCTCATGTTTTTACACCCCAGGGCTCCTCGCTACTGTGGCAGAATAATTGTGTTTGTGTACAACATTTATGAAGCTACCTCAGATCTGAGATGCAGCTTCCAGCTCCTCCTTCATGCTTCAGTGACGAGACAAAGATTGTTCCCTGTAGACGGCCATTATTCAAGTTCAGAATTTTCTAGAATCTTACCCGTTCGAAGAAAGATTTGGTTTCCATACCTGCTTCATTTAGCTGTTATTGGGCAGGGAAAACTCTGGAAAAACTGTAAACATCACAGCACCTGCATGCCGACCTAAAGAGAACTTCAGAATCACATGCCGAACAAACATTTGTGCAAACTTTTTTTTTAACTTACATTATTTTTGAAAGGCCTAGACATGTTTTGCTGTTCATAAAGGGTTCCTGGTCCAATGTTTATCACACCATCTGAAAGTTTTTATTGCCCTTTGTCTGCAGTTTTGCCCTTGAAAGAAAATAATGAAACACTTCATGATCTTAAGAAATGAGGGACGACTTGCAAACACCTGCATGTTTTTTTTGATTCTGCAAGGAAGAAGGCAAACCAAGGAACATGCAATCTTCATGGAAGGGCATGCACTGGCTTGCAGTGGGGTGATAATGCTAGACGTCTTTGTGCCAGCCTCAGCCAACATATATATTTTTTAAGTTATGTCACTTTAAACAAGTTCAGTCAGGCTAAAGTAGTAATTACAGAAAACATTTCTCATGCTTTCCGGTGTGCAGTTGATTCCATTTTCTTCATCGTCTCTCAGGTTGTGTACAGGCGTGCCGACATGGCCATTGGCTCTCTCACCATCAACGAGGAGCGCTCAGAAATCATTGACTTCTCTGTGCCATTTGTCGAGACGGGCATCAGTGTCATGGTGGCACGTAGCAACGGAACAGTCTCCCCATCTGCCTTTCTCGGTGAGAACTAGGTCTTCAATGTTCGTTTATGTGTTTCCATGTTGTCACCAACACTACTTTCTTCCTGGATGGCCTACTTAGTCAAGTTATGTCTCTGCAGACACTTCAGGAAAATTCAAATTAAGCTTTTATCACACAACTAAGTCCCTCTACACGCCGCACACCTAAATCCCTTTCCCCTTACAACAAACTAGCACAGAATCCTTAACAGTGTATTTCCATTCTTTCCTTTTCATATCTGTAAATTCTTTCCATTCTGCAATCCTAGAAACTCACATTGTAACTTCTAGCTCCAGTTTAGCTTTGTGAAGTAGAAAAGAGACAAAATGTTTGCTTGTATTTTGACTTTTCTTTGTTAGAGCCTTACAGTCCTGCTGTTTGGGTCATGATGTTCGTGATGTGCCTGACTGTGGTAGCAGTGACGGTGTTTGTGTTTGAGTACTTCAGCCCAGTTGGATACAACCGCAGCCTGGTCAGCGCCAAAGGTGAGTTCTGTTGTTTGAGGATTAGAGAAAAGATATAGAGCAATCTATTTCTCCAACATCATGAAATCAGATGGAATAAAATCCAGCACAGTCCACATTTATCCCGTAGAGTATGTGTTGATAGCATTAAACTACTAAATGGATGAAGTGGTTTTATTTGCATGTATTTTGCTAAAAATATCCACCAAATAGCTCAGAGCTACTCTTTTTGAAAAGTATTTCACTGTAAGCCTGAAAAAATCCTGTTCCGCCTGCATGTCCTCCAACGGCAAGAAACAAGATTTTTGGGAGGGCTAATCAATCCCAGAGTGTAGCACTGACAGAGTGTGGCCGTCTCCAGGTCCGAAAGGTCATTTTCTTGTTTTAATTAGCATTTGTGGCTGCACTAATTGAAGTGTGATTGATGATGGTTGAACTCTCCAATCCTGCATGAAAAAAAACAATAAAACAGTAGAATAAAATGGGCTGAGGTAGTAAAATTCTTCTGTTATTTGAAAATTTGAACAAGGGTGTGAAAAGGTTACTCAGTCAAGAACACATATTTTTTCATGGGAAACAACAACCAAACAAAAAGTGTGCATTTCATTTCTTCAGCCCTCTTGTACTTCATAGATCTGAAGAAGGCTTACATCCGTGTCCTCTGTTGACTTTAGGGTGCCAGGGTAAATTTTTAAGGGCTATCTACTCCGGGTACAACCAAAGCAGGGCAAGCTGGGCTGCTCCATCCAGGTTAGGAATGAGTCTTTCTCCCAAAGGAGTTCACATATCTTCATAAAACAATGGCGCCCCTTTGCTGCAAAATGGAAGCAGCATCAGGTAGTCTTTAGTCATTCATGAGTGGTAAACCTGTGGCTCAATCAAGGGTCGTCTCACAAAAGATTACACTGTGGCGGTATAAAGGATGTATGGGTGTGGTCTCTGCGCTGTCACGGACTTCCATTTAGCTTGGTTTTTATCCTGATTGAGGTTACTGTTGTGTCCTTGGGCACCCTTCTGTTGTGTTAGGGTCAAAATTGACCCGTTTTCAAGTTTAACTGTGTAAAAAGTACACTTTCCTTTTTTGTCCTGGAATGAGGCTTCATCTAATCCTAAGACACACCTATTTAAATGCAGCAAAAATCAATTTTCACAATTTGAGTAAATTCTCAAAGGTCTCAAAAAAAATAAAGTTACTTCTGTGGTGCTACGGGTCCAAAATGACCCGGTAGAGAAAACTGGCGGTTGTATGCATCACTTAACCCTCTCAGGCTCAAAATAAGTTTTGATAAAAGGACGAACAAGTAAGTCCTTCAGGGGTACTTCTGAGTTAAAAATGCTCATGTAAAACGTATGTGGAGTGACCAGGTAGGTAGGTTTTAGCATTGCAAATCTGCAACGCCTGGAGGCAGGTCAACTATGGCCCAATGTGCACAGTTATGGCCCACATCACCAACACACACACACACACACACACACACACACACACACACACACACACACACACACACACACACACACACACACACACACACACACACACACACACACACACACATACACACACACATTAGGGTTTGTTTTCATTGTGTCCATTGTTTAGATTATGGTTAATTCAGAATGACATACCTGCACTAACACCATATTCTTTTAAATGTTCTGTTTATGGTCAATGCAGGTGCATGTGCACGCACACAACCACACACACAGTGTTGTTTATCATTGTTCATTTTATGGTTAAATTGTTTGGTTAATTGGTCTGGTTAAAGAAAAGTTGGTTTAATGGAAAAATTTTTTTGACTTCTTGTCTTTATCCTACCATTTATCTATGCCGGTCCGTTTTGACCCGAAACACCAAAGAAGTCACTGTTGTTAATAATTTTAAATAGTAAAAAAAAATTATAAAATTTTTTTGGGTAGGTGTACTCTAAAATTAGTTTATCACGCATTTATAGCTTATTAGTACTCATTCTATAAGAAAAATAAATATATTTAGTGAATTTAAACAGTTTTTGCAATCAAAAACGAGTGGTATATTTTAAAATACTGTGTCTGTGGAGCCAACAAAAAAACAATTCACACTGGTTTCATTTATATGAATACATAATAAGCCAGCTATTAGCTGAAAAACAACATTTGAAGAAAACTGGTGATTTTTAAGCATTTTAAAGCGTTTAAAATCATGGGTCCAAATGGACCCGCTAACATCACAGGTGTAAACAGCTTTCTAAACACAATACAAGGGTTAGCCCACTTTGCTTGCTGGTGGTGATCAGAGGGACCGGTGGCGCCAGTGCTCAGCAGCCTCACTACCGTCAGTGTGGCGGGCAGCTTTGGCTACATTGTAGCTCATCATCATCATCAGCATGTGAATGTGTGCGTGAATGAGTGAATGACTGTGTTGTGAAGCACTTTGGTGGGTTGTAGAAGGTGCTATACAAATACAGGCCACTTATCACCCAGCTTAAGGATAATATCTGCCTTGAAAATGACTCCCACTGTGTTTAATGAGTTTTTGGCAGACCGTCGCTTTATGGCACAACTCTGGCTGAGACTTGGCTCACATCACAACATCACCCTCTGTTGCACCAAGCTTTGAGCTTCATTCAGTAGTCTGCCACTTCAGTAATATTACTGGCAAGCACGGCAGCACACAATATTCCCGCATTGCCATGCCGCTACTTTGCTTTCAAAATAATGGCCACCACAGTGTTTCTTCTAAAAGAAGCTTTGGTTTCTTGTACACTAGTGATGGTAGGATGGAATATGAGATAGATCAGAAGATTGCAGTGATTAGTGTTACTCTAGTTTGTCACCTGTCCCTCATCTATGATCATCACTTGTTAATGATTAACAAAAGGACAAGATCCCAGATTCAATGGCCAGCCCCAACGGGCATCAATATCCTGGGCGAGCTCAGACAACCGCCTTTGCTCTTATGCATCTAAAGATGTCAACTGAGGTGGTCTGGCTGTTTAGATAGTTTGCCTCCCAGTCACCTCTCCTTAGAGGGTTTTTGGAAACATCCCCTGAGAGGAGACTCCAGAGCAGACCCAGAACTTGTCCATAGATGTGGACTAGACTCTGGACCGGGAATGTCTTGGGTGGAGTGTTGCTGGTGAGATGTCCGAGTTTCCTGCCTGAATCTGTAACATGTGACTCAATAAGTGACTGAGAAAGGATGAAGTGGAAGTATGTTGACTATTAAAATGGTTTCAGCACCACAAGCCAATCCGATTTGTTTTAGTTTCAGGCTGGTAGAAACTATTTTTATTCTTTAAATCAAAAAGAAAGACTCCGTTTTTTTCTTTCTTTGGTTTTTCTCTTTACTCTGCCTTGTGGAGGTCTTGGCATTTAAATTAGGACTTCATTATGCAAACTCAGACTCTCTGCTCTTCATTTCTCAGCTCCTGGTGGTCCGACATTCACGATAGGGAAATCAGTGTGGCTGCTGTGGGGCATCGTCTTCAACAACTCTGTCCCAATTGAAAACCCCAAAGGAACCACTAGTAAGATCATGGTACTGGTCTGGGCCTTCTTTGCTGTCATCTTCCTGGCTTCTTACACTGCCAACCTGGCTGCTTTCATGATCCAGGAACAATACATCGACACAGTCTCCGGCCTTTCCGACAAAAAGGTAAGAGACGTAATGAACAAGAGTTCAATGGGAACCTCCAAGTGGTGTATTAGAAAATGCTTTTGTGTTGTTTCATTTAGCAAACAATGTCTTCACATTTACTTCTGTCTGTTGCCAAATCATTATCTCTCTTTTGAATGTTCTTCACATTGCAGTGAGTAACAGACCATGACCACAAGAGAGCCAAAGGATTCAAAGAAAACCTCTGAGATGTAAAAGGATTTTGCTGTGAATGCCTCTGTCCTTTCCCTATCAGCGGGGAGCACTGTGGTGTGAATGACTAATCGATTACTGCCGTCTGTCAATACAGATGGTGTCTGAGTCTTAACTTGTTCTGTCAGTATTTTGGGTCCGTCCATCAATATTGCCCCCTGTGTGGTCTCCGTTCCTCGCCTCGCTCGCACTGTTAGAACAGGATCGCAAAATGTCAAACTATTTAAAAAAGTGGTAAAGTCACAGAGGAGACCGTGCTTTCCTCATCACTCAAATGTGTTCGCAAACACTCAAACTTTTTCACTTTTTTGTGCCGAGTAACCAGTGCATTCAGAGAGAAGTTGGTTGATTTAGTCCAGGGCTACAGTTGTATGTTATATTAACATTGTGTTGAAAAATTAAGTCCCAAAGCATAAAATTAGCCTACAACAATTCAAACAGAATTAACACACAACAAAGATTTTTAAAGAAATATTTAATTTTGAGATCCCATCTTTTTCACCAAATTCAATCCAGATTTATTTATATAGCACATTTAACAACAGCTGATCAAAGTGCTTGACAAACAGTAAAAGGAAACAAGACAAAATAGTTGAATCAAGACATAGAAAAAGAATGGAGTAAAACGACACACGGGAAATATCTGGTAATGGCTACAAACTTTAGTAAAATCAACTAAAAAATGCTAAAAAAAATTTAAAAAGAGAGAACAAAGTACTAAACGATAAAACGTGCAAACATTCACGCCAGCTACAGTCCAGTCCATGGGATGAAGTAGCAAAAGTACAGTGGGGCAAAAAAGTATTTAGTCAGCCACCGATTTTGCAAGTTCTCCCACTTAAAATGATGACAGAGGTCAGTAATTTTCATCATAGGTACACTGCAACTGTGAGAGATTGAATCTGAAAAAAAAATCCATGAATTCACATGGTAGGATTTTTAAAGAATTTATTTGTAAATCAGGGTGGAAAATAAGTATTTGGTCAATAACAAAAATTCAACTCAATACTTTGTAACATAACCTTTTTTGGCAATGACAGAGGTCAAACGATTACTATAGGTCTTTACCAGGTTTGCACACACAGTAGCTGGTATTTTGGCCCATTCCTCCATGCAGATCTTCTCGAGAGCAGTGGTGTTTTGGGGCTGTCGCCAAGCAACACAGACTTTCAATTCCCTCCACAGATTTTCTATGGGGTTGAGGTCTGGAGACTGGCTAGGCCACTACAGGACTTTCAAATGCTTCTTACGGAGCCACTCCTTTGTTGCCCGGGCAGTGTGTTTGGGATCATTGTCGTGTTGGAAGACCCAGCCACGTTTCATCTTCCAAGCTCTCGCTGATGGAAGGAGGTTTTGGCTCAGAATCTCATGATACATGGCCCCATTCATTCTGTCCTTAACACGGATCAGTCGTCTTGTCCTCTTAGCAGAAAAACAGCCCCAAAGCATGATATTCCCACCCCATGCTTCACAGTAGGTATGGTGTTCTTGGGATGCAACTCGGTATTCTTTTTCCTCCAACCACGATGAGTTGAGTTTATACCAAAAAGTTCTACTTTGGTTTCATCTGACCACATGACATTCTCCCAATCCTCTGCTGTATCATCCATGTGCTCTCTGGCAAACTTCAGACGGGCCTGAACATGCACTGGCTTCAGCAGCGGAACACGTCTGGCACTGCAGGATTTGATTCCCTGCCGTTGTAGTGTGTTACTGATGGTGACCTTTGTTACTGTGGTCCCAGCTCTCTGCAGGTCATTCACCAGGTCCCCCCGTGTGGTCCTGGGATTCTTGCTCACTGTTCTCATGATCATTTTGACCCCACGGGATGAGATCTTGCGTGGAGCCCCAGCTCGAGGGAGATTATCAGTGGTCTTGTATGTCTTCCATTTTCTGATAATTGCTCCCACAGTTGATTTTTTTCACACCAAGCTGCTTGCCTATTGTAGATTCACTCTTCCCAGTCTGGTGCAGGTCAACAATTCTTTTCCTGGTGTCCTTCGAAAGCTCTTTGGTCTTGGCCATAGTGGAGTTTGGAGTCTGACTGTTTGAGGCTGTGGACAGGTGTCTTTTATACAGATAATGAGTTCAAACAGGTGCCATTAATACAGGTAACGAGTGGAGGACAGAAAAGCTTCTTAAAGAAGACGTTACAGGTCTGTGAGAACCAGAGATTTTCCTTGTTTGAAGTGACCAAATACTTATTTTCCACCCTGATTTACAAATAAATTCTTTAAAAATCCTACCATGTGAATTCATGGATTTCTTTTTCACATTCTGTCTCTCACAGTTGAAGTGTTCCTATGTTGTAAATTACTGACCTCTGTCATCATTTTAAGTGGGAGAACTTGCACAATCGGTGGCTGACTAAATACTTTTTTGCCCCACTGTAATGGTGAAGTAGTGAGTTCTGAGACCAGATGTAAGCAGATCAATAGATGTGGCCGAACAAACCGAGAGTGCAGGCTGTTCCAAAGCTGCGGAGCTGTGTGAACAAATGCACGTTCACCACGAGTCTGAATGAAATATTTAATTAAAATTGTGCATTAAAATGTATCCAAACCACATCATCTTAATCTTTAAAGCGCCTGTCTTGCTGAAACACACCTAAACAAATAGTTAAACCTGGCAGGCATGAATAATTGCTTCCTTTTTTTGAGATAAACTCCATGTATGAGGAAAAACTGAAGGGTGTTCCGATCTAATGTGAGTACTGGAGAGTTGCTTCAGGAGCAGATTTTCTTTGCTTTCCCAAACCATAAAAAAATATCCTCTTGTCTGAATCCCAAAAAGCAAGGAAAAATAAAATTACCTGCCCTCCCAATCCCAATAAAATAATTCCCTCTCCCTCCCAGTCCCAGCAGGTGTTTTTAAGGTGATTCCAAACAAAACAAAACCAAAAAACAATCACGAAGACGTGAGGTGTTTCCACTCTGTCACTGACAACTCCCAGGAAACCGTCAAACTTCTGAATTCACTGACAGCGTTTTCGTGGTGATGCAAACATTTCTCCCTAAATTAGCTCCTCTAACTCATTTTTGTTTCTGTCCCTATTGTTAAAAGTGGCGGGCTCGCACTGGTCAGGATAACTCCGCCACTATAGTCAGAAATGGGGGCAGCAGTAGCTCAACAGGTTGAGCGGGTTGTCCAGTAATCGGAAGGTTGCAGGTTCAATCCCGGCTCTGGACAGAGAATTCTGCTGTTGTGTCCTTGGGCAAGACACTTAACCCACCTTGCCTGCTGGTGGTGGTCGGAGGGGCCGGTGGCGCCTGTGCTTGGCAGCCTCACCTCTGTCAGTGCTAACTCTGAGAGGCGCTATACAAGTGTGGGCCATTTATCATTATCAAATGTCAGACAGAACTAAATAAGTTAAAACAAAGCATTAATCAAAACGAGACATCTAACTATATATTTTTTTGCCCACTCCTGACTATTTTTCCTATTTTGCCCCAGTAACAAGATTATAATAACGTTTACTACAATTTCATGGGAATCCCGCAGGACTCACGTGGCCCACTGGGGTCCCCTCTAGTGAGGAGTTCTGAAGTTATTCAGATGCGAGTCCAACTGTGTCCATCTAAAACAGAATGTCACCAGGACTACTGATGACTTTAAGAGTAGCAGTTCAGCCTCTGGAAACAGCCACTGACCAGATAGTTAGGCTGACCTGAAACTCAAAACTCTTTTTTATTGTTTTTTAATTAATTTATTTGTTTTGGTGGGGATTCTTGAAACCATATAGCTCTAATTTACACTAGCAAAAACAGTTCTTCCATGAAGACCTTTTAGCTAGTGTAAATAAGATTAAAATATTTAAGATATCAATGCATTTTTAAAATGATAGTTCCTGGAGAAAAATCAGATAAAACTGGCACCTGGTCAGAACTGCACAGGAAGCGGTTTCAAAACATGATCCCAAAATTAGTGCATCTTTCAGGTTTTGTTTTGGTTTATTTTTTATTTGTTGTTCCCAATTTCTGCTCATGTCAACACATGAGCAGAAATTGACATAGTAAGTAGAGCATTCATTTAGCTCAGCTCCAAAGAAGAGAACCATATGATGAAGAGGTCCTCATGTCTACAGTCTAACCGAGTAGATTTCTGTGTAACATGAGATTCAGATTGAACCAGATTTTCTATGTGAGATAAAACCAGTTGATATAAATTTGTTTCACAGCTCATTTATTCAGCTTTGAGTTTAGCTGCTCAGTTCAGTTTTATTTAACAGACTGGTTGTTATTTCATTTGGTTCTTTGGTCTTTTGTTTGTGTTTGCTTTTATTTCTAATCTCACTATATTTCTTCACACCACTGTTGACTTCATCTGAACTCATGGCAACCTTTATCAAATTTACTTTCATCTTTTTTTCTTTTTGACCGTCTCTTTCTCCTGTCATGTTCTGTTTGTTCCATCCTGGTTTTCTTTCCCAGGATATTACCTTCCCTTACTTACTCTATCCTCATATTGTTTTCATTTGTTCACCTTTTATTTGTGTCTTCTACCATAAATATTTTCCAGTTTCTTCACACCCCACTTTTCATTTTTCCATATTTTCTGTCTCTTTTCCCCTTATTTTCTCATTTAGTCCTCTGATTTGCTCTATTGTAATTTTTTATTTTGAAATAATGTAAAGTATTATTTTTACTTTAGTTTATAGGTATTTTAATTTTCCTATGTTGTCTTTATTTCTCTGATCTTCTTCCTCCCCACCTCCTCCTTTCATCTTCTGTCTGCAGTTCCAGAAACCACAGGAGCATTACCCTCCTTTTCGCTTCGGGACAGTCCCAAATGGGAGCACGGAGAGGAACATCCGCAGCAACTATCCTGACATGCACACACACATGATGAAATACAATCAGAAGGGGGTGGAAGAAGCCTTGGAGAGTCTGAAAAATGGGTAACAATTTGTTCTCATTTAAGTGTGTTGCATAAATCGAACCAGGAAGATAAATTTAACTTCCTTCCCTCCCTTCCTTTTATGTACCACGTCAGCTGTAGGATGACATGGAAATGATGATAATGTGGTGACGCAGCAAAGCTTTGATGCTATTTTAGAGTCAGGCCACAGTGATGGGTGTATTTTTAGATACAGACATGTCTCGTGTGGCTTTATTTACAATGAAATGAGCTGTCAAACATTTCATCTTGATAAGTATTACATTTAGATTTCTTTGAAGAGGCTTTCTGGACTATACCATGCATATGCAAAATAATATTTTAATTTCATTTTTGGGTTAAGGAATACAACTCTAATGTTAGAGAGCTGAGAGCTGTCTGGGATGCCAAACCATCACTTAGAAAACTTTAATTTCAGCCATCCTGATTAGGCTTGGGCGGTATCCAAATGTGATACCGTCACCAAGGTGTATGGTATTAAAAATGATGATGTAAGCCTCAAGTTGAGTTACCAAATTGTTTGTTTGAACCTTCACTGTTCAGAAACTGAATAACAAACACTTTAACTATAAAAATAACAACATAACACACATTGTATTAACAACTTTTAAAAACGCAGCTTATGAAAAGATTTTTCACCTGAAAAGACATGAATGTTTACCTTTACCAGCTTCAACCTCTGACTGCTGAAAACCTACTTCAATGAGCTGGTGGCACAGACATACGGGTACTTTGGTTCTAATCGTGACATCTGCGGATGGCTGGCAGCTTGTTTTCACCAGAAAAGTGTGTTGTTGTTTAATAGGCTCCAGACATGAGTCTGCAATTTTAGCTATGGGTCTTTCGCGGTCATCTTTTGTTAGCACAAATTACCTCATCAGTGTTTACCGGCTCTCCTTTTAAGTTTGCTTCCAACCCAAAATACTCCAAAACTGCAGAAGTTGCATTGTGTTTCGACAGGTCAGCTGCCATTTTTCTCTCAGCGCTCCATCATGTGATGACATCACATTCATAAACTTTATAGAACGTCTCTAAAGTTGGACAAAAAAAAAAAATTTAAGTAAAACTGAAAACTCAACCACACACCTGTTTTATACATTAAAATCAGTTTTATTTATCTCTTTAATTTATTTTTATTTTTAATTCTTGTCTCCTACGTGCACTGTTACTTTTTCCCTTTTTCGCTACTCACTCACTCACTCACTCACTCACTATATAAAACACCGGGCCTGAGTAACAATTTAGTGTGTCTTCAGTTAATTTAACATGCAAGTTTTTGGCCAGTGAGAGAAAACCAAAGCACCCAGAGAAAACCTACAACATGCCAGCTCAGAGAGGCCTTAATCTGAGTTTGAACCTGAAGTCTACTTGATGTGAGGGGACAGTGCTATTTGAGTATGAAAAATTAAAATACCCAAAAAATTCTTTGAAAAATGGAAGTGTTTGAATAAAATGTCTCGTCTTCTTCCACCTATCTGGGTCCGGGTCGCGGGGGTAGCGTCCCAACTAGGGAGTTCCAGACAATCCTCTCCCCGGCCACCTCCACCAGCTCCTCCGGTAGGCCCCCAAGGCATTCCTGGGCCAGTTCAGAGATGTACTTTCTCCAACGAGTCTTGGGTCGACCAGGGGGCCTCCTGCCAGCAGATCATGCCCGAAACACCTCCCTTGGGAGGTGTCCAGGAGGCATCCGAACAAGATGCCCAAACCACCTCAACTGACTCTTCTTGATATGGAGGAGCAGCGGCTCTAATCCAAGTCTCTCCCAAATGTCCGAGCTCCGCATCCTATCCCTAAGGCTAACCCAGCCATTTGGCGGAGAAAACTCATTTCGGCCACTTGTATCGACGATCTTGTTCTTTTGGTCATTACCCAAAGCTCATGACCATAGGTGAGGACTGGGCGCTAGATCGACTGGTAAATCGAGAGCCTTGCATTCTGGCTCAGTTCCTTCTTCACCACAACAGAACGGTTCAGCGTCCGCATCAAAGCAGACGCTGCCCCAATCTGCCTGTCGATCTCCCTCCTTCCCTCGTTCTAATTTCCCTCTGGGATTAACCTCTAATTGCCCTCTGGAATTAACTCTAATTCCCCTCTGGGATTAATAAAGTATCTTTGAATTGAACAAGAGCCCGAGATACTTTAACTCCTCCACATGAGGCAGGACCTCTCCTCCGACCTGGAGTTGGCAAGCCGCAGTTTTCCAGTCGAGAACCATGGTCTCAGACTTGGAAGTGCTGATCCTCATCCCAGCCACTTCACACTTGGCTGCAAACCTCTCCAGTAAGAGCTGTAGGTCAGAGCCTGATGAAGCTAGGAGGACCACATCATCCACATAAAGCAGAGATGAGATTCTCCTGCCACCAAACTCCACACCCTCAACACCACGGCTGTGCCCAGAAATCCTGTCCATAAGTGTTATGAACAGGACCGATGACTAAGTGCAGCCCTGGCGGAGTCCAATCCTCACTGGGAGCAGGTCCGACTTACAGCCGGCTATGTGGACCAAACTCACACTCCTCTGGTACAGGGACTGAATGACCCATAGCAACTCCTGGAGTGCCCTCCACAGGGTGCCTCTGGGGACACGGTCATAAGCCTTCTCCAAATCCACAAGACACAAGTAGATTGGTTGGGCAAACTCCCATGACCCCTCCATCACCCTAGCAAGCGTAAAGATTTGGTCCACAGTTCCACGGCCAAAACAAAAACTGCTGCAAAGTAGTTTGACTACCACAGCAGCTTCTCAAAGTTGCTGCATAAAATATTAAATATTACCTTACATAAAAATTTCCTCACATGAATTTAACTTTTATTGCCACTTTGTCAGATGAGTTAACCTGATTTAAAGAAAGACAACAATTGAAAATGTTGAAATGATTTTAAAACCGCTACAACAGAAGAGGAATACATTTTAGAAACAAATAATGAGGATGTTATATGTTTGTACAGGAAGCTGGATGCCTTCATCTATGATGCTGCTGTCTTGAACTACATGGCCGGGAAGGATGAAGGGTGCAAACTGGTGACAATTGGCAGTGGGAAGGTGTTTGCCACCACCGGGTATGGGATTGCTCTGGAGAAAGACTCCCGCTGGAAACGACCTATTGACCTGGCATTGCTTCAGTTTCTGGGCGACGGTGAGAACAGATTTAAACAGTAGTTAAAGGAGATAACGTTGTCCAGAGGAAGGAGCAGATCCTGACAGATGTGTTTTTCAATTCAGCCTCATTTGCAAGATAATTAACAGAAAAAATAGGAAAATATAAAATAATCTCCAGTTTGAAAAATAAGACACAAAGAAAGGTGTAGTTCTTCACCTCAGAGCATTTAATTTGGTATCGCCTGAAGGTGAAGCTATGTGTTTCTTATTTACAGACAGTGGTTGTTTCAGAATTAACTGAACTTAATTACACTAATACACATAAGTCAATACTGGGTAAGGGTTAGGGTTACTATCTACCTAACCAGTGGATGTTGCGACAGCTCAGGCGTTCTCCATCAACTCAGTTCTAATCTTCTATATAAGTTCTCCTAATGGGACAGCTTGAGATTAGAACCAAGAACTCCACTCAGTTGAAAGTCAATATTCACTGATACATGAAGGTTTTATTTAAAACAGTGCATTGCTGGTGGGGATTTCAAATGATTTACATCGTCTGTGGTGAGTCAACATGATTGTCCCTCCTGTTTGCCCTAAGCTCCACGCTGAGCTTCATGCTGTCACAAGCTAACACAATCTGATAAAAACGTTCCACTAGTATGACGAAATCTTTTGCAAAATCTAAATTCTACATTTGGTATTTAAAAGAAATCCTGACATGGTGCCTTACTTGCTTTTAGTTGAATTTGCATCCCTAGTTACGATCTCAACATTATATTCTTGTGAAGAGTGAGATCATGCAAAAGGCCTGGAGTGACATCATCATGGTCTAAGAAATCAACTGGAGAGGTAGGATTGTTTTGAGTGTTTAGTCCATAAATGACACTTTTCTAGAAAATTGGGCAGGGTTAAAAATTATGGAAGAATTAATGTTAGTCTGTAAGATAAGATAAGGAAAAAGACAGATGTGGACGATGCCTTTACTGAGTTCATGTTCTATATGTCGTAAAACCAAAACCTTCAAAGCCGCTATAGATCTCTCCCGGTGCTCCAGCTTTGACCTCAAGCTGCAGCGCGCTGATTTTCCCATGAACTTGAAAACTGTGCAATAAGTAAACTTCAAAGTCAGACTGACTAAACTTTCTTGTAAAGGATCATCACTTTTGACAAAAGCTAGGTAAGGGTATGACCCAAAGACCAAAAGGCAGCCTTCAGTGAAAGATCAAAGGTGGAATGTCACATCAGAAGCACCACCAAGAGCATTCCTATTTCCTTCAGTCGTGATAGGGCTGTTCATTGTGAATTAATCCCCTAAGGTCAGACGTCTAAAGGTGCCTGAGTGAGAACTCTCAGCACTTTAAGATGCACCTGTTTTTATTTTGTCTCTACTAACAGAAATGTTGCTTAGTTAGTATTGATCATAATTGAATATGACCTCCTATAAAGCATCTTTTGTTTTTACTTGAATGCAATCAGAGTTTCTACAAAAACTACACAGAAAACCTGCTTTCTGATTCTGATGAGTTATTTATTTGTCCTTGAAAAAAGGGGAAATAAGTTTTCAAGCAAAACTGCTGCAGATTGTCAGATTTTTAAGGGAACTCTTGTGGGGTTTGTTGAGATGTGTAAATATTAGTATATTTGTCACTGATTAATTGTTAATGGACATAGAACATTGTAAAAAAAAAGATAATATTTTCAAACATGCTCAAATTCAACAATTTTTTAAATCTTTTCTTGGAATTTTTTTATTTTATTCCTGAATCTGGAGGTATTCCAGAAGCTTCATGACGTAGCCTTCTATAGCCATGATTGAATGGTCGGTTTGATGACTGACACCTTTTTTGGATTGTTAGGGCCAACAGAATGAAGCTTTACTCACCAAAATAAGATTGACAATATTGTCAGCCAATGATGGTCATCAAACCACAAACATGCACAAACGAGGAACTTGGCCAGCCATCAGGGATGTTTTAGTTCTATACCCCTGGTTTTGGTCAGAATGTCTGTTTTCTGACTAAACATTTTTCAGTTTGACAAAAGAGGTAGAGCTAGCAGTGAATGATGAGAAAGTCTGGATAAAACAAACTTTTCAAGGCAAAACCTCAAAGGAAAGACACTTTTTTATAGCTCTACTGTGAAACTTAGGTGTAGAATGTTATGAGGCACGTATAAAATTATCAGGGTCTTAGCTTCAAAATGGTGGGTTGAATGGGTGTACAATGAAATGTCTGGCAGTTCTGTCCTGAGACAGAAATTTTGCAAAAACTTTCACACAGTGGTGATGTACGTGTAAAGAGAGACTTGTTTTGCAGCATGTGAAAAAGGATTATATGGTCTTGTAGCCAAGGTTATGTAGTTTTTATAGAGTGGCAACTTGATCACGTAGATCAACCGGTAAATCCAGAGCTTTGCCTTCCGGTTCAGCTCTCTCGTCATCACGACAGATTGGTACAATGCTTGCGTTACTGCAGACGCAGCATCAATCCACCTGTCTAGTCCCATCTTTCCCTCACTCATAAACAAGACCCATTCTACCCCAATCTGACTCAAGACCATGGTCTTGGATTTAGAGGGTCTGATTAACACTCATCTGCGAACTGCTCCAGTGAAAGCTGAAGATCACATTCTGATGAGGCCAACAGGACTACATCATCTGCAGAAAGCAGAGACCTGATCCACCAAAATGGATCCCTTCAACACCTTGGATCCCCTAACCTAGAAATCCTGTCCATAAAAGTTATGTACAGAATCTGTTACAAAGGGCAGTCTTGTCAGAGTCCAATTCTCACTGGAAATGAGCCCAACTTACTGCCAGCAATGTAACCAAGTTCTGGCACCGATCATACAGGGACCTAAAGCCTGGTTTATGCTTCTCCGTCAGCTCCGCAAGGGACAGACACGCACGGATTGACGGAAGCGTTTTGCGCTTTTACTTCTCCGTCTCCTGGGGAGTGTTGCAAAGCAATTGCCTGACAGGACCACAGAGGGCGTAGCGCTGTTCTGTGGTATCCTGTCATGTATTGGTCCACGATCGTGTGTTTATATTGTGTTTTTTGTGTATATAAGAGACTTTTAACACGGACGTATTTGTCTCTCATTCTCCCACCGCTTCATGCGCTCCCCACCTCTAAACCCACGTTTCCTGTCATTTCCATCCACAAATAAAACGCTTGCTGCGCATCTTTTCACTCCTCCAGTCACGGGAGAATTAAACGTTCATATTTTTAGAGTTTTTTTCGCGAGGTATTCTTCAAGCTTCTCCGTGTCTGCCGCTAGTTATCCTCGGCTCTCTTTGCAATGGCGACGCTGTAAACAACAGCGGCGTCCTGACCAATCACAAGCTTGCGTAATCCGTCTCGTTCGACGGATGTTTAAAAAAGTGGGCTCGACTCCGTACGTACTTGCGTGCCTGCCGGAGCCCTACGCAAGGACGGATAATGGCGTTGCGTGTCTCCGCACTGACGGAGACGGAGAAGCATAAATCAGGCTTAACAGCCCGTATAAGAGGGCCTGGTACCCCATACTCCCAAAGTGACCCGCAAAGGGCCCTACGAGGGATGCTGTCGATCACCGTCTCCAAATTGACAAAACACATGTTGATTGGTTGGGCAAACTCCTACGCACCCTCCAGGACCACTCTAAGGTTGTAGATATGGTCCAGTGTTCCACAACCGGGAACGAAAACCACATTGCTCCTCCTGAATCCGAGGTTCGACAATCCGCCGGACCCTCCTCCCCAGAATCCCAGAAAAGGCTTTACCAGGGATGCTCATCCCGCACCCAGTGCCCCGCCACAGGGCCCAAATGGTTAACTCACATGATGACTTAAACTCTTGCTGTCAGAAACTGGAGGACATGAGATAACTTTGTGAAGCATTTGTGACCAAGTGTGACTAAATCAGGGTCGATACTAGCCAAGATGTTTTTGTTTTTTTAAACTGCAACAAGAGAAGCTGTTGAATCATTGCTGCAATTTGCTTCAAATGTGTTGTGTTTACCAAGTCAATGAAAATTAAAAACAACCTGTTTTCAAATTACATTCGTGGCTCAAATAATTCTAAAATAAAGCAACCACTTTATGTGAAAGGAACTAATGAATCAAAAAGGTTTAAAAAGAAAACTCGAATATTAAAATAATGTAAAAATTTTAGACAAAATGTTAATCTATTTTCTTTACACTACTGAAAAAAAAGTGTGTTAAGGTTTTAAATCTTTTATTTTTAAGAAAGTTATAGGTTTATTAGAAAACTCAGAACTAGTGTCAAATGCATGTACACAGGTGGTTAGAGCTGGACTTTATGGTGGATTTTAACCATGGCAGAGGTAAATACTGTCAAAGAGGTAGAATCTAATTTAGATTGCAGGTGCAGTTTTGCTCCAGGTGAAGTCTCTGAACTATATGATCACACCTGGTTCACACATGGAGCACAAACTCATGCCAACACCTTCTCTATTTATTTTTTATTCATTTTCGTCATTCTGTTACAACATGTATCTGGCATCCCCTCAGAATAATGAATGTTGTGCCAGCAGGAAAGTGGACATAAAAGGAAGTGTTAATATCCTGAAAAATTACAGGGAGTGTTGGGAATGGGATTGCCACCACACACATGCACACACACACAGGTCCCCCCCCCCCCCCCCCCCACACCCACACACACACACACACCAGCCATTATGGCAGGGAGTTTGAGGGTAGTCTATACTGGAGGTGCCTGTTTTCCAAAATTTATTTAACTGGTTATTGACGTCTGCTACCGGTTAATAGCCAGTTAACCGGAAACAAGCCAACCCCCCTTACTCCCCGACACACACAAACATTTGTCCCTACACACACACACACACACACACACACACACACACACACACACACACACACACACACACACACACACACACACACACACACACACACACACACACACACACACACACACACACACCACATGTAATTAATGTTTTAATTACATTTCTAGATGTAATTGTCTATCATTTAAATTATCAGACATGTTACTAAAAATAAGTATAACATTTGATTTAAATAACTTCAAGCCTACAAATCTGCTTTCCAGAAGTTTTATTTTAGTCCTAATTGTCAACATATCAGCTTTTCAAATCAGGTCTGTTTAGGAACTTTGGCATCTGTTCTAAAAATAAATCAGCAGGGATAAATTTAGGTGCTGATTTTCTTTTTTCATTCGAGAGTGTGACTTTTTTTGACAAATGTAATGTTTTTCACACTGCTACAATGTTAAAGTCAGACCGTAATAATGGTTAATAAACAAATACTGAAACAGAGGAGGTCACTTGAGGGTAACAGTTAAGTGCTCTTGAGCGTCAAAATTAAATTTAAACAGGTTTCACTGGTGAAGAACAGGTTAGTCATTACTTAATTGGACTGGACTGAAACACAAAGGAAACTCAGTGTTACAGTTAGAGTTCATTATGCATTCACAACACTGAATCTAAATCACACAAAAAAACATTCAGATTTCTAATCACAGTGGTCAGGGATTGATGTGAGTAACTAGAAAAATGTTATATTTTGATCAGATCAGTCCCAGCAGCACACTAACAGACACATCTAGCATCTTTAGAACAACTACAGAATTGTTGTTGCAATCTTAGCATTTAACACCACCTCTCCAAGTGTAAGGGCTTTAAAGGTAATTACAACCACACACAGTCATACGGCATCAATGAGCTACAATGCAGCCAGGGCTGCCCTGGGGCTAAGTGGTAGAAGCGAGGCAACCGCAGTTCTTCTGACCACCACCAGCAGACAAGGAGAATAAAGTGTCCTGTCCAAGGTCACAATCACTGCAACAGACCAAGCCGGGCACAAACCTGCAACCCTCTGGTTATCGAGAGGGCACTTAATTCATCTGCCACACACACACACACACACATGCACGCATGCACGCACGCACACACACATTGTTTGTGTTTTTCCAGCTATTAATTGCAGTTTAAGTCGTTCAAGTCCAGTGAATAGCCTGAAATTGTGCAAAGTTAAGTGGTGAACCTCCAGAGGTTAAAAAAAGGTAAGGTTACTCTAAACTGAAAAATAATGTACATTTTAGAATTATACAAAAGGCATTTTTCAGGGAACACAGCTGATAATGACCCAAAACATAAGCCATACATATAATGTCAGAACTACCTCAGGAAAAAAAATACAAGATGGTAAGCTTGAAAACATGGAGTGGCCAGCACAGTCTCCAGACTTAGGCCTAGTCCACACGTAGCTGGGTTTTTTTTTAAACGAATATCCGCCCCTCCAAAAACTTGCATTCACACCACCTTGTTTAAAAAAAAACTCTGTCCACACATACCTGGATAAATACGCTGTTAAGGACATGCCAGACCTGTAGGCGGCAGTACTTCCCCCGAATTGTGTCCAGTCAGCGTAACGTTTCGTCTTCGTGGTCTTCCGCAAGGAGCAGTAATTCCGCTTGCAAAAACAAAGAAGCAAAAAGCGCTTGGACAATTGATAAAGCGAGTGCAGCTCTGAGGGCATCCATGCTGTCGGCTAGTGTAAACACAGGTCGCACACGTGATGTCAGCATTTTTTGTCACGGAAAGTGACGTTGCGGACCTTAAAACTCTGGTTTTGTCTGTCCACACGCAGACACCCAAAACGTAGAAAACGCAGATCTTCACTTTGGCCGGAGTTTTTAAAAATATCCGTTTTCGAGTGAAAAAACTCAGTTTTCGTGTGGATGACAGGCCAAAACGTAGAAAAATATCTACGTTTTAGCAGATCCCCGTCTACGTGTGGACAGGGCCTTAGACCCAATGGAGCTGGTTTGGGATGAACTGGACAGAAGAGTGAAAGCAAAGCAACCTACGTACGCCACACATTAATGGGAACTTCTGCAACAGACATGGGAAGAACTTTCTGAAGAATATTTGATTTCTGAATGCCACGAGTGTGTTCAGCGGTTATATCTGCTTTGATGAAACAAAAGTTTAGAATAGATTTTGGTCTATAAATTGATTCCATGATTTCTTTTTTAACTCCAATTGCTTATTTGTACTATGCTTTCATTGATATTAATATATATGTGTGTGTGTGTGTGTGTGTGTGTGTGTGTGTGTGTGTGTGTGTGTGTGTGTGTGTGTGTGCGTGTGTGTGTGTGTGCACGCGTGTGTGTGTGTGTGTGTGTGTGTGTGTGTGTGTGTGTGTGTGTGTGTGTGTGTGTGTTTGTTTAAGTCTTCTGTAAATTTCTGGCATTTCTTTCTTTCCTCTTCTCTTGTAAAACTCTAGGAGACACAGAACGTCTTGAGACCGTCTGGTTGTCTGGCATCTGCCAAAATGAGAAAAATGAAGTGATGAGCAGTAAGTTGGACATTGACAACATGGCGGGCGTCTTCTACATGCTTCTTGTGGCCATGGGGCTCAGCATGCTGGTGTTTGCCTGGGAACACCTGCTCTACTGGAAACTACGACACTCTCTCCACAAGTCCCACAAACTTGACTTCCTGTTGGCCATCAGCAGGGTGAGAATTTTGTTAAATTCTTGCCTCTCTGTTGTGTCATTTCCATAAAACAATTGTCTGGAGACAGAAGATGCTTCATAGACGTAATAATTTGGTCATGTGATTAATTGTCTGTTTGTGGTTGGATTAGTTGGAGAGACTTGCAGATCAGTAACTTGCCTTCTCTTAATTTCATAAAGTCTTCCCCTCAGTGATAAAATGACAGCATACCAAAACCAAGTCTCTTATGTCTTGCTTATTGGTTTCTAATTGTTTAATTGATAAATATCTTCTATTCACTTGAGACTCATTCAGTTAAATTAAAATATTTGGTTGACTTTTCCTCAATTTTACTATTAAATTATTTAATTATATTTTTTATACCAGGGAATTTACAGTTGTTTCAAAGGAGTAGAAGATCCTGGACGATCATCTGGCTTGGTTAAACCTGACCTGACCTCCAATTATGCCCAAGCAAATATGCTTAAGATGCTTCGCACTGCCAAAGACCTGGTCTCCACTGCCAATGTTGAAAGCTCCTTGGACAACGCTACAAAGACCATAGAGCAGTTAAGTCGCCATGGTGGGACCTTGCCTGTTCGTGTTCCTCAGGTTGCCACTGAGGCTGTTCCAGGAGGCTTTGCCTATGTTGCAGAAAACCACTGCACTCTACCGCAGCGCTCCCTTTCCCCACCTCTAAGTGGTGTTACCTCTCTAAAACAACAGAGGGGTGTAACCAGGCCAACACCACTGCGCTACACACTTCCAACTCGCTCTTCGTCTTGTCTGTATGACAGACCACTTCCTGTGTCTAGCCTGAGCACCCCTCACCTAGCTGTAGGTGAGCCACTTCCTCACCAGCACCCACACCATTACCAGACCACTGGGAGAATCTATGTAGACTCCCATTCTCACTCCCCTTTCATCCCTTACTCTGATCTCCAGCTGCCTGACTTATACACATCCCACCCGGTCTCATCCCAAAACCAGCATGTCCAAGTGGGGATTTCTCAACTCAAAAGGAGGTCCAGGAGTTTTCAGGGTGACAGTGGTGATGTGGACAGGAGAAAACATGGGGAGCAGGGAAAGAGTGACAAAGCCTCTTTTGGTTTCAGTGAGCTCAAAGCCAATCACCTCCAGGACATCCATGTCTCTTCCCCAAGTATTGACAATATTTATTTAGGAGAAGGACTGTGTCCTCGGGTAGAGAACTACGGCTCCTGGCCTCCAGAGGACCTTGTGCTTAGAGGGCGACGCAGACACCGCCGGCCCTCTTTTCTTAAAGCAACTTGGGGTAGTGAGCAAATTCGTCAGCTTGATGAATCACAATCTTCTCTGTCCAGCCAGTCACCTTCAACCTTGCCAGATCTGTTTCCATGTGTTGCTACTCCAACCACATCCACCAAGGCCTACAATCCTGCTCACATTCGAAACAACCTGTGCCTCCCAAGGAACCAGACCTACCTCCATATTAGGGAGGACCAGAAGAGGCCTAATGGGCGTAAGGGCCAAAGACTGCGCTACTCTCACTCCACCCACCTCCCAACATATGGAGAAGCAGTACGACATGGACCTGGGTTAGGCCGGGGGATGGTGCGAAGAGCCACCAGCCTGCTGAGTCGACAGTATGCACACTACCTGAACTCATACCCGGGACTGCCCCTCTACCACGGCCCGCTGGATCTCCAGCACCACAGCCAGGCTGCCAGTCCAGTGTGCCAGCTGTTGGCCTGTGGTGGTGGACAATGTGGAGGCCAGCGGGCCTTGTTATACCAGGACAGTGTTTATGGGGCTTATGGGATCTATCAGGGATCTCAGACTGGATTAGAAGCTACAGTAGGGCAGGGAGCAGGAAGCCATCCAGGGGGAAGTCCATGTGTACTTCGGCCCTGGCGACGCGTTTCCAGTCTGGAATCTGAAGTCTAACTTGAAACCATCCGGAAATTGTGGGAATACATAAAACAAGACTTTTAAACGTTACCACTGTGGAAGCTTTTTTGTCAGAACTGAAGTAAGTGTTGATTTTCATTGTGACTTTGTGTGGTGAAGAATAGATATTTGGGTAAGACGATACAACACCACTCCACCAGTCTATCCTTGCCACAGGAAAGCTTGAGTTGGCTGGTTTAACTCAGTTGCTGCTTTCCCATTAGCAATATTTGGGTTTTTCTGCACTTTTATGTGAACCATGATTTACAAGAGTCAATTTGATTGGCTCATAGTTAAATTATAATTAGAGTTCTCATGCTGTGTGTGTTGTATATTTTGTACTGTGGATGATTGGAATTCAGTCTTGGGTATTGTCTAGTATATTAACTGTTTACAGGTGGAACAAATGAATAGATAAAAGGCTTTTCTCTAAAAACAATCACCAACAAGCAAAACTGTAGCAGAATATCTGAAGGCAGCTGTGATGGGGATGTGGAGAGTTTATTTCTAGCACAAGGCAATCAATGCTCCTTATTGAAGAGCACCAGTTTTCTGAAAGCAAAAAATAAAAATAAAAAATCAATTTTGGGCATCTGTTAATGAATTCAGATGGATTCTTGAGATCAAATCTGAATCAAAAACTCTCACAGTTCTGTGTAATGTTGAGTCTGAGACAGCAGCGACTTTGTGAAAGCAGTCCTTATGAACACAATCTGCTAAATGATTGCTGGATGGTAACCACATTGACCAGCAGGAGGTGTCTTAAAGGGATAGATTTTGTAGAGTTATCAGTGATTACCAACTTATCCACAGTAGAGAGCAATCAGAACACATTGTAGAATGACGGAGAAGGAGAATGGGGCCTTTTCTAGAAAATATGTAATATTTCACAAACAGTTTTAAGTTATCTCAAAACTGCTGTAGAAATAGCTGCTGCCTAGACAGTTGTTAGCTGAACTTCTCCAGGCAGAATTCTCCCTTATTCTACAAAATAAGTTAATCCTGACTGATGTCTATGGTACAAAAATCCCAGACAGATACTACTACCCCTTTAAAACCACTGACGTTTCATCTTTATTGTGTCTCAATGTGAAGCTACAACAACACACAGGCCTCTCAATAAATAAATTATGTATTGTAAGTACAATAACGATATAGATGAATGTGTTATTTAAGGCTGGTTAATGTTATAGTTATGTATTCTACATATATTAGGACTTTATAATCACTCTTTTTCTAAATTCAACCCTGGCTGATTCTGGGTTTTTGTCTTTTGTTTTCTTATTTAAACTGTTGATAATTTATTGGAGCATTTGCTACTGTATCATCAGTTTGCAGATGCACACTATCATTTCCATTTTCCACTTTTTATATTGCCTTGTCATCCCTCTTTTTACCATCCTCAAACTCTTCAATTATCCACTTAAAAGGAGATAAGTGAAACTATTCTAGTATCTATATTACCAGGCTCCTTCACCCTGTAATTAATCACTAAGACCAATTAAAGAGCCTTTTTGGATGAACATTCATGAGTCTTTTTCTTCCTTCTTCTCCTTGTAAAATCCAAGCTTTATGCACATTTGTGCACTAAAGAGAATAGGGTTTTGACATTTCTCTATATATTACATGTTTGTTTAGAATAAATACACCCATAACTGACTTATGAGCACAGTTTACACAAAAGTGTAAACAATGATTTCTTTTTACCTGTCAAGCAGGCTTCCCAAATCACCTGTGCAGTTTGAACAAAATATGAACACAATATTGGCTAAAACTAACCAGTAGAGGAAATCATAATGTTATACACAAGAGTTATGTTTGGAAGTTACAAATACTATTATATTAGAAGCAAGAAAAGCAAATGGTGTGTAGAAGCACAGCTAAAAACTGAAGGGTGCATCCAACAGGACCTGGAGGACCAATGTCTTTTATGTTCAAGAAGCTTTCCTACTTCAACACTTTGTTTAATTAAAAGAATAAAAAACAGGTTGTAAGCCTCGAAATCTAGACACACCGTAGCAGTAGCTATTTTTTTCTTTATTGCTAATAATTACTAATATTTATTGCTGTCTGAGTGACAAAACAAGCCTTAGGATTTTACCATTGCAAGCAAAGTATTACAGCTTCAGCTTCAATGCCTCGCCTATAAAAAACTTTATTAGCATTGCTTTTGGTTTATTTTTAATCCTAATGGACATGTAGATGGTAATGAAAGAGAAATGAAGAAGAAGAAAAGTGTAGAGAGGTGCAGCAAAAAAGTTCACAAAAAGAAGTCATGCAAGTGGTACAAGAATCCTATTCTAGAACCGCAGAAAGAGAGAAAAATAGTGGCACAAAAATACAACAGAACAGAGATATCACAGTGGACACGAAGATCGTTGTGCCATGGTTGATAAATTAGAAAAGTGGTTTCTTCTAGTAGGCATGGAATATTAACAAGAGAAATAATGTAAAAATCTCTTTACTTGCCAACAGTTTTGGCTTCACACTGAGGCCTTCCTCATGGGCTGTCATCAGGTGAATTGTTGACGTGCCCCTATATCCTGTATTCCCGGAGCACGTCATGTGCTTGAATTATTGAAATGAAATGAAGCATTACATTGAATGATATATGTATATACTGGTATATGGTAATCAGTAATGTTTGATATGACAAGGCAATTGTCACCCGCACTCAGACACTAGGACAAATTAAAGTTAAGTTAAACTCATGACACATAGATATTTCTTTACCTCAGATCAGAGCATCTCAAGAAGGTGTTTTTTCTGAGGTTATCTTGGTAACATCCCTTAACATGGCATGCTCTGATTGGCATGCTCTGATTGGCCAAGTAAATCATAATATGAGAATATTAAAACAGAATCACAGAGTAATTCAGCAGTTGCATTCCAGCTTCCCATCATTCAGCATTCAGTTCTAGAGAACGCTTCTGAACGGCCGTCCAGAATGACACCTCTTTAACCCTGAGCATTTTTGGCAAGCTGCCAAAACCCTGCTAAAAGCTGCCTACCGCTGACACAGCAAACGGTTCCTGCAGAACAAAGCTGATGCAAGATTCCTTAAGAATCCATTCGAGATGCAACTTGGTTACAAACTGTTGTGACCTGGAGGCGACTCTGGACTGACCTGGTTGTACTGCGGTTTTCCTATGGACTTCGGTACCTTGGGGTCACCCGACCCCCTGACATCTCTGATCCAAAAGAGAGTCTCCACTTGGGGTATGTAGACATGACAGATGGTGTCTGATGCCTTTTTGATAAGAATCAACTTCATAGCTCAACACAAACCAAATTCTTCCCTTTTACACCCAGAACTCAGTTCTTCTAGATACGAAAGTTCTGATAGCATCATATTCACACATAGGCACCATACATCACATTTCATCCACCTAGATCCATCCATCATTTCTTAACTTGTCATGTTTTATTTATTTGAAAATAAATTCTTACTTTTTAAAAACCTGACTCTTTTCTTGAATCAAGACGAAGTGTTCTACAATCCCTGAATAAACAAAGAACCCTAGAATCTTCTGATTAATCATCAAAGACCAAGCAGGTTGATATTCTATATTTATATAGAATATCACAGCTTATTGGTCATACGTAAAAGTAATATATTTAAGATCTTAAAGCACTACATTTACCAACTCCTACATGAGCAAATATCTGGAGAAGTTCTGCACACAAATTGCAGTCGATGTAAATAGCAGTCCACGCAAAAACTACACCACATGTGTTTTGTACTCTGTAAATGAGGCATTTTTCCTCATCAGCTGTAGAGCCCTGCTGTTCATACTTAATAATCACCTTTCCCAGTATATACGTATAGTACGAACTAACACTGTAAGATCCTTCTTTTTTTCTTGTTTTATTGCTTGGAGGTTTGTTAATGCCTGCCTAGTGTTCTGGTCCTTCAGTGTACTCTGTTTTGTTTGTGTCTGCTCCTAGTGTTCATCCACCTGATTTTAATGATTGATTTGCTGCCTTGTTTGGATTTTCACTTAGCTCTTCTGCTTCTTGGGTTTATTTTACTTCTAGTGGCTCTTTTATTTGTTTCCTGCTGCAAAACACCTGATTTAATGTTTGAACAACGCCATTGGCTTGGTAATCATTTATTGATTCCAGTCAGGTTTGCTGAAGTAGAGAAACATCTTAAACATAAAGGACTGAGTTCTTTGAGAACTTAGCAGCACATTTGGTGCTCAGAAAATAATCCTGAAATATCTATCTCTATTTGACTCCAGTAGACTCGCGGTAGTTTGTTTGATATTAAGTATCATTGCACTATATTGCTGAATCCAGCCTAGCTGTAATGCTTCTACTTTAACAACAGCAGCAAATGGCACTCAGAGTTGAGTCATAGGGACTTTTTTTAAATGGTTGAAAAAAAGGGGCGCATGAACAAACAGACAGTGCAACAGATTATCTGGTCTCTGATCAAAATGTCCTTCTCCGATCCTATCATATGGAGGTCAGTCATCTGCTGCAGCCTCCTGTAGGAATATCTTCTGCATGTTTGGGTTACATAAACAAGAATACACAATAAAACCAGAGCAGCTGTTGCTGATGCTCGTTTTGAGCTTAAAGGCTGCTGTATGCTTCTCAATTATCTACATTGTTTTATTGAATAAGAGAGTCATGACAAGGTGAACATTTTCAACTGTCCATCTGAAATAACCTTTGATAAGAGACAAACTACTTCAACTCAAAGTCACCTGTTGCCATGGCAATTATTCTCTCTCTTCGCTGTTGTCACAACGAGATAAGGCTCCATTGAGGAGACCAGATGAGTAATGTTACAGAGTCCAAACATTGAGCACTTTGATTTTTCCATTACTCTGTGCTTTGTTACTGGAGCATTGCCTTGGACCAGACCATAATATTGATTCAATCCTCTGCTCTGCTACTGATCCTGTATTTTTAGAGTTCAAGGTAATTGGACTTATTTTTATCCTTGAAGAGCAGAAAAAGGGCTCAGAAGGATTTAGTGATCATATAATAAAGATATGATTGTTGGTAGAACGAAGCTTGACTTTGTACTTGAAGATACCATCATTTGTTTTATTTAGAACTAGTGTCTAAAATATGGCAGATGGAAGCAATGTATTGTGTGAATATGCTGCTTCCAATTAAGTTGTAAGGTAGCATGTTTGTCAAGAAGAACTGAATCCTCATTTTCATCAATATTTATTCAAATAAATCATTAGCTCACCCATGCAGACATTTCTTATTATGGTAATAGGACAACATGAGATTTCCTGTCAACCATCAGACAGAAGGCCTGATATTTAGGCTAAGAACATTGACCCAATGCCTGCTTGCCTCTCTTGACATGTGGATGCAAACAAGAAGAAGAAGAAAATATCATTTCTATAGCGCCTCTCAAGATAAAAATCACGAGGCACTTCACAAAAACAAAAAATAAAAAAAATGTAAAAATATAAAAAAGCATTTAGAAAATGTTTAAAAATATATTTAAAATGAGCAAAAATAAGCAATTGCGATTTTAAAGAAAAAATGTTAAGAAAGAGAGAGTGAATAGGAAAGAGGGAAATCAGTGGATCCTGAGGAAGGTGGAATAGGGGGGGGGGGGGGGGCAGAATAAAGAGAGAGTGGTTGAAGAACGTCATACAAAAAACAAGACCAAATCATCACCCCTCCACCACCATGTTTCATCAACAGCTTACTTACAGTGTTGGTCCTTGGCCAAAATCTGTTGGTGGTTCCAGATAGAGAACCAATTAAAGGTCTGTGTATTTTTTGGTTTTCAAGTGTGAAATATCTTTTCATACAGTGGTGGACTACAGATTATTCTAAAATGGCATTATAATTTCCAGGTTATTGAGCAGCAAAAATCCATTCTTTTACACCATTACTAATATATTTTATGAAAACGGTGGAAACACACTCGTAGGGGAGAGCGGGGTAATGTGAGACATTGTATAATGTGAGACACCACCTGTATTTAGGCAGCAGAACCCTATTGTACCCTTGTGACCATTTTGTTTCCAAGCTCCTCCCATTTCCCCATGGTCATAAAGAGGAGAGGCTCATTTTACTGAGGTAAGCATGTTTTTTTTTTCTTATAATGTTTTTATGTTTTTTGCATGTAAAAGTAAAATTTCTTGCTGTTAACTTAATCAAGTGTTGTGCCAAAGCAAATTGATTCACGTAGAAAAACTTATACCTGTTCATAAACTACCAACATATAAAACCATGCGATGATGGTTGCTGAAGGTTAGCCTGAATTACTGAGAAAGATCTTTTTTTCTAAAATGGTGGAGGTGGGGTAAAGTGAGAGTGTCTCACTTTACCCCACCATGAGGGTTAAGGTTAAGTTTTAATAATATTTTAATATGATATTACATTACATGTGTATTGTAATCTTAATACTAATTACATATTAATTAATATGCAATATTACATTTTCATTTTAAATGTCAAACATTCAAGACCCAATTCAGCCATGCTCTTGATGGGTGGATGAGGTGTAACCCAGGCAAAACAGTCTTCATCTGTTAGG